AGCCAGCCAACTAGCCAGCCAGCTAGCTAGCCCGCCAGCTAGCTAGCCAGCCAGCTAGCTAGCTAGCTAGCTAGCTAGCTAGCTGGGAAGCTGCAAAGCTGCCTCTACAGCGAATCAAAAGACCGAATCCCCCCTCCACCCCTTTCAATTCCAATTAACAAATTCCAATTATTATTTATTTATTTATTTATTTATTTATTTATTTATTTATTTATTTATTTATTTATTTATTTATTTATTTACCTTGGTCCTGGTCTTGGGTTCTGCGTTTCAAGTCTCGGGTGCCTCTTTTGAGTTTTCTGTTTTTGGCGCCTTTTGCAGATTTCTGTCTTCTCCCCATTTTGCGAATTTGAAGTATTTTTAATTTCTTTTATTTCTTTTTTTGTTTTATTTTTAATTTAATTAATTTATTCTTTTATTCTTTTAATTCAGTTCTTTGCTGCTGCTTCCAGCTGCTGCAGGGGGTCTTCTGGTCCAAGAGCGCTGCGGTGGAGCGGCGGAGAAGCGCAGCAGCTGCTGCTGCAGCAGCAGCGCAGCAGCAGCAGCAGCAGCAGATCCAGCAGCAGCAGCAGCTGCTGCTGCTGCGGTCGCTCTGCGAGGCCCAGCAGGTGTGGGAGGCCCGAGGGCCCGCACTGAAGAAGAAGGAAGAAAGTGCTGCAGCAGCAGCAGCAGCAACAGCAGCAGCAGCAGCAGCAGCAGCAGCAGCTCTAGGGCGAGTTAAGCGCCTGCAGCCCCACCTGCAACACCAGCAATGGCGGCAGCAGCAGCAGCAGCAGCAGCAGCAGATGAAGCCTCTGCTGCTGAGCTTGAAGCAAACAAATAGAATGAATTTAAAAGAAGAAATAAATCAAAAACAATAAAGCTGTTGGCTAAAGAGAAGGGGACGGGGGCCCCAGGAAGGGGGGCCCCACAGCAGCAGCTATTGTAGAAGGAAACACTGCGCGGGCTAGAGGGAGCTGCTGCTGGTGCTGCTGCTGTTGCTGCTGCTGCAGCTGCTGCTGCTGCTGTTTGGCACTTAATATTGTTCATTTCAATTAAAAAAATGCTGCATTGTCCTCGGGACTAGAGAGAAACGAGACAAAGCTGCTGCGCGCGCTGCGGCTGCAGCCGCTCCTCGCTCAGCAAGCAGCAGCAGCAGCAGCAGCTCCAGCAGCAGCAGCAGCAGCAGGGCCAGGGGCTGCTGTTTGCTGAGGGGGACTGCAGCGAGCCACACTTGGCTTCGTATGGTTCTTTTTTGTGCTGAAGTTGAAAAGTTTGAATAATTGAATTTGAAAAAGGGGCTATTGACAGGGCGAATCTCTAAGGGAGCAGCAGCAGCAGCAGCAGCAGCAGCAGCAGCAGCAGCAACGCGGCAGCCGCTGCGTTCCTCCCCCGCCGTGCCAGCTGCGCCTCCGGGGCCCTCTTTGTGTCATTTTGAACTTATTTGAATTCTTTTGATTAAATTTGAGGATTTATTTGTGGAGCGGGCGCGAAGCAGCAGCAGAAGAGCAGCAGATATCTGGGGAAGCTCGCGTGCCTTCGCTGCAGGTGTTGCTGCTGCAGTCGCCGTCGCTGCTGCTGCTGCTGCTGCTGCTGCGGGTGCTGCTGTTGCTGCAGCGTCGCCACCATGAGGCGGCTCGGCCTGCCCCTGCTGCTGAGCCTTAACACGCTCTGGGGCCGTTACTTCTTAGCAGCAGCAGCAGCAGCAGGGCCGTCGGACGCCGCCGCAGCAGCGGCCGACGCGGAGGCGGCCGCGCGCCAGGTGGACGCAGCGCAGCAGCAGCAGCAGCAGCAGCAGCAGCAGCAGCAGCTGGGCGTGGGGGGGGATGTGAGCCTGGCGGTGCCGCCGGAGTGGGTGGCGGGAGCTCAGCAGCAGGCGCCGGCGCCGCAGGCGCAGCAGCAGCAGCAGCAGCAGCAGCAGCAGGGGCCGCGGGGTTCTTCGGGCCTGGAGGCGCAGCTGCAGCAGCAGCTGCAGCAGCAGCTGCAGCAGCAGGCGCAGCTGCAGCAGCAGCAGCAGCAGGCGGCGGGGCCGGCGGCGTCGGAAGACCTGAAGTCGCTGAGTTCGGGGTCGGGCGGAACAACAGCAGCAGGAGGGTCGGGCGCAGCAGCAGCAGCAGCAGCAGCAGCAACAGCAGCAACGGGGCTGTCGCTGTCGAGCACTCCTTACCTGGAGTCGGAAGCAGCAGCAGCAGCAGCAGGAGAGCCGCGGGACCTGCTGGCGCCGCGGGAGCTGCAGCAAGCCCCCGCGCAGGGCGGCTCTGCTGCTGCTGCTGCTGCTGCTGCTGCTGCTGCTGCTGCTGCTGCTGCTGCTGCTCTCGAAGCAGACGCTCTCCCCCCATACAAAGGGGCTGAAGAACTCTTCGTGGGGGGCCTCCTCCTCTTCCTGGGGGGGGCCCTCAGCCTGCAAAACCTGCGGGGGCCCCCGGGGCCCCTCTTGGCTCTTTTTTTTGCCCTTTTGGGGGCCCTTTGTGCCCTTTTTGGGGCCTCTGCGCAGTTCAAAAGCATCCGCAAAAGGACCAAG